ACTTACGCTGCACGCGGAGATTTGGTCGTATAATGGCCCAGTGCAAACATTGGTTTCATGAACGGGCGAAGATCCCGTCAGGTCTTCGACGGCTTCGTGGCAAGTCTTGCGATCGACGTACTCCATCTTAACATGTTGAAGTTTGTCTGGCATTTCGGGGAAATGGCTATTCGAGACGGAGCCCCATCCACAAAGCCAAGCCTCTCCCGTTGGATCACTCTCTGGATCTGCTAATTCGATGGCTTGTACTTCATTCGTCAACTTCAATGGAGATGCAAGCTTAAGCAGACCAATGTCATATGGGCCAACACCACTGAAAATTTAAAAATTTATACAGTGGTATAAAATTATATATTTATTAAATGCAAACCTTTAAATATAATTGTATTCAAATTAATACTAAAAATTGTAGTATTAGTGGAAGAATAATAATAATAATCTACAGAGTCAATAAAAATATAGTGTGCAACATAGAAAATTTTGTAATTTAATTTATTCTTTATTTCTTATAGAACAAAGGAACGTTCCAAAGTGTAAATCTCATAATAATATTAAATTTTCAAAATTTATTAATTGGGTAACAATTATAAAGTAAAGTAAAATTCACCATTTATAAGATCTACCTTTGTGATATAGGCAAAAAGAAAATTCATTTATATATTGTACATTTCTAATACACAATTGGCGCGCAATTTTTGAACGCATGTCTGCCACATTGATTCCACCAATTTCATTAATATAAATTATAAATTTCGCAAGGTTAACCAGAAAACTACATTTTATTAAAAAGCAAGAATTGACAAGATAACATTGCCAATAATCCGCAAAAGTTTGGATATAATTTTCTTTTTTCCAATATCACAAAAGTCGGGCTTATGAATGGTAAATTTTACTTTCTGATTACCTAAGTAACAAATCTTTCAAATTTAGCATTGTCATGAGATTTACACTTGGAAACATTCTCTTGTAAAATATAGTTTTTCTAATCATAAGTATGAAGTGATAACCACGATACCTGCAATATCATGCTGCGTCATTGATAAGAGTTTTAATTATTGCGTATAATTTACAAATAAAACTGCTAATTATTGATTTAAAAGTTTTTTACGTTTTAAATTGTTTATATGTACAATTACAAGTTAATTATAAATATAACGTTAATTACAATATATGTATATTAAACAATTTTAATGTGAGTAAAACCTGAATACAAAATTGAATTGTTTGTACTTATTCAACATTTTTCTTACCCTCCATAACTTTCATGTATAAAACCTTTCGCCACTTTGACTGACTGTTCGGTAGCCTCGTTAGTTGCAATATCGTGCTTTCCAGCCTTGACGGTAAGATAGTCTACAGAAGGAACTGCGTCGACACAGTGCCCGGCTGTCATGATCCAATTTTCGTTTAAGATAGATCCGGCGCAGAAATGCTGAGAGAGGATTTGCAGGGAAACTATGTACGGGTAACCGCCTTTTGGTGCCTCTTCACCACCGACCACTTGAGGCGAGAGAGGGCGAGCAAAAGGTGGCAAGATCGGCGGCATCCGGAGACCTGTTCGGGGCCTCTCTAAAATTTGAATTAATAATGTTTAAGAAAATACATTGTTTTGCGACAGTGAAGATTGAATAAAGTTAGTCGTAGTACGTCAAAGATAGAGAAAGCTTTCTATAAAATAAGATTATAGAAATTTGTAATAATATAATAAAAACAAA